GCTCTCTCTAAGGGAAGGTGCTCCAGTGCTCTGATCAGCTTTGTGGCCTCCTCTGGACTTGCTCCAACAGTTGGTTGTTCTTCCTTCACATCAGTGTCCCCAGCACCAGGATTGCTCCACCAACACCCACTCACAGCAACCCTGCAGGGTATTTTGGGGCTCCCAGCACAGGTACTCACCCTGTACTTGCTGATGTTGTGCCTCTCCACGCAGGAGCCCTTCAGGCAGAAGCGTCCGTCGCCGCAGCCGGTGCCGTCGGCCCAGGGGAAGTGGCGTGTCTGGCACACGACCTGCCCACGAGCCTTCCCCGTGCACCACAGCTTGGCACAGTACTGCATGTAGGGGCAGGGCTTGGAGCCCACCCCAAAGGCCAGTTCACACTGCTGGTTCAGGCTGTAGCTCGTCCCCGGCAGGTCTTCGGGCAGCGGGATGGGTTTGGCAGGCTGGTCCAGCAAGCAGTCACCTGCAGAGTGGGGATCAGGAGTTCATCAGGTCCTGGATGGGTGTATGGACCAGTGTGGGGAGGGAGAGCATTGCTGTGGGGAGGTGAGTGAGGGATGGCTGCTGGGAATTTGACCAGAGCTATCCAGGTGCTACCCCAGGGCTGCCCTCACAGTCAACTGCATCCCAGACCCAGGTGACATCATCTCTTGGTGACTATAGAGCTATGCCAGCAGCCTCAGTGCAGACATGACTTCTGGGACACTCCAGGAGGCCCCAGGCACTGCAGCAATGCTGCCAAACTCTCCCTTTTCTGCTGAATTTGTTTGCAGAGCTCTGCAGCCCACCAGTCTCTCCCAGCACCCAGCCCCAGGCACAGACCCTGCTCCCACAGGACACAGGTGGAGGGTGAGGGGCACAGGAGGACTCACCGTGGCCACTGTCCAGGAAGTCAGTGATGATGGCAGCACTGCAGGCTGACCAGGGGTTGGCACGGTCGATCTGGATGAGGGTGGGGGACATCATGTGGTTGGTCTTCAGCTGGCCAAAGACCTCCTCACAGGCCTTCACGTTGTCATGGGGCATGTTGAAGACGTGGCCTGGGAGTGGGATAAGGGGAACAGCATGAATAACCCCACTTGGAACAGGTCTCTCAGGTTTTTGCCATAGGGGAAACTGAGGCACAGAGTGGGTCAGACCCTTGCAATGGCTGTGGGGCAGCCCAGGAGAGCCAGGGAGCTTTCCAGCTCTCTCCCAGATGCTTTGGGGATGTGGAAAGCACAAGGGGAAGGAAGGACAAGGGAAATTGTGAAGAGAAGATGATTCCAACACTCTCCCCCTCCTTCCTCCTCCTCCTCCTCCCAGAGGTAGGTGTGCCCTCTGCCTGTAATTTCGGGTCTCCTGAATCCTGGAAACACAGCCATGGTAGCAACCACAATAGTAAAGCCTTTTGCTTCCTCAGCAGCCCTTTCCCACCTGGCTCAGGGGTGTCTCATGCCCCAAGGTGGAGTTTCCTCATCACCGGATACTGGTTATTGTCTCATCTTCCGGAGGCTGAAACCAGGGCTATTTTGAACCTTGCCAGCTCCTGAAATTCCTGCCCAGAGGAAGAGGAGAGGAGGGAGCCTTACCCAGCTCGTGGGCGGTGGTGAAAGCCGAGGGCAGTCCATCGTCCTCGATGACGGAGCAGCTGCGCTTGGGGTCACACATGGTGCCCACATCTGCCATCCCCAGCGTGTCACAGGTGGTGGCACCACACAGGTCCTGCCAGGCACAGAGGGAAGGGGTTAATCCCAGGGGAAGTATGGGAATTGTGCTTCCCCATCCCTGGGAGCTGCTGAGGAGGAGAAAGCCCAAAGGGCTGGAGACCACACCAGGCTGTGGAGGCAGGAAACCTCAATCCTGAGCCAGACTAGGCTGCAATGGTGTGTTTGCATTTAGCCCTGGCACCAGGGATGTGGGTAGCATCCTCCCATGCCTTCAGCAACAGCTTTTCCCACCCAAACAGCTCCTCCAGACAGGGTGTTGCTGGTTTCAGAGGAGCCAGTCTGGCTCCCTTTTGCAGCATGAGCTCAAGGACCAGAAGGCACCTGGCCTTGGGCTCATTGCTGACCCATGTCTCAACTTCTTCATAGGAACAAGAAGCCCCTGAACCAGGTCCAGAGGTTCCTAAGGCTGAGGGAAGTGCTCCTGCCTCTCCAAGACACACTGCAGCCATCCCCTGAGGAGCTAGCAAGCCCAGCTGATCAAAGGAGGAATCAACCCATCCTTCCACACCCAAACTGAGGATAAGCAAACCCCACAGAGATGCTGTGCTGGAAGAGAGGATGGGAATGGTCTCATCACAGGTGGACCTGCTCTTCTTCAGGATCCAAGGGGCTTGTGCAAATAAAAAGTGCCTTTCAGGTGCTGCAGTATGGCAGTGGCCTTGTCCTCAGGTGCTTCTTTCCCCTGCTGGGGTCTTTTGGTGGCTTGGGCTGGCTGGAGCATCCTTCCCATCCCTCGGTGCTGTCCCAGAGCTTCCAGGGAGGCCACGCCGGGGGCAGGGAGCTGCTTTCCACATGCAAAGCAAACGTAAGGGACTCGCTGGGCGCTCCCATGCTATAAATAAGTGTGATTCATACTCAGCACTCGCCCAGCCAAAGTGCCTGAGTTGCTCAGAATCCTGCAGGAGCTGCTCTGCCAACATTTCCAGCAAGGTTTCCAAGCTGAAGGCATTCCCGGTGCAGGCAGGTTCAGCCGTGGGTAAATAACAGTCCCGATGACTTCAGAGAGCCCTGGCCAGGGCTCAGATGGCTTTAACAGGAGACCTGTGGCTACAGAGTCTGGAGGCACAGGCAGGACTGTGATCTCCAGAGAGGTGAGGTGAAGAAACGTCTGGGTCTGGGCTCCTGGTGGAAAACCCCATCATCAGCTGGGCTCAGCGCTTTGCTCTGCAAGTTTTCTCCATCAGCTGGGACCACGCTGCATCCCCAATCCCACTGTGCATCTATGCTGGCAGGGACAAGCAGGTGGCAACCTCAAACCCCCATCCATGGCCACCACCGATGGGCATGGAGTGAATGGAGGTGCTGACGAGCCCAGGAGCAGTGTCCTCTGTCCCAAACCACCACCAAGAGCAGTGCCATCACCACACTGAGCCAACCCAGGGATGCAGCTTGCCCGAGCCCCCCTGCCCATGCTCCCCCCAGCACTGGGGGTCTGGGGGTAAAGAGAGAGATGACATAGCATCACAGGGAAGAGGTGGCTGCTCGTGGCTCTCTGCTCGCGGCGCTTTGAAGAGTTTCCTCGCTGGCGCAACAGCTTTTGGCTCATGGCCCAACACCTGCACTGACACACTGACCCACTTCTCCCTCTGAACCTCGCCGGACGGGATACACAGTGAGTGGCTCTTCATCCAGTGAGCTTCCCCTGACTCCCCACCACAGCCTCCTTGGGGCAGCCCAGGGGTGCCAGGCAGCACCTTGGGGCTTAAATGAAGGGTGACAACCCCCCAAAAACACCTTGTCCAGCCTTGCTGGGCATTGAGCCTGCTCAGGATGGGAGGCAAAGCAAGGATGGAGCTAGGGAGGGGAGGAGAGAGAAATGGACGAGGTTTAAGGTGGGAAAGTAGCATGCAAAGGGTCATCTCTGCCTTTGCACGGTGTGCTCACCATCACCACTGCCAGCAGATACAGGGAGGATGTCCAGCACCCCAAGGGGCTGCAGGCAAACTGCTCACAGCACCCTCAGCACTATCCTGCCAGCCTGACCTTCCTCTGTGGGACCTTCCAAGGCTTTTCTTCATCTGTTCTGAACTTCTTGAGATGTTCTGCAGGTCAGTTCAGTGGATCCTTGTGGCTCGTGCATTAATTCACCTGCCCCCAGACCAGCTCTCCCTGCCATGGAGGCTTCCCACATGCATCCAAAGCAACTCCAAAAAGCTGAGCCTTGAAATATGGAGTTTCCACATCCTCTTGCAGCATCTGCCACACACTAGGCTGCAGCCAGGTGTTCCTTCATGCAACATCCTTCGATTTTACAGCAGAGCAAACATCTGCTGGTGAGACATCACAATCCAGGATGGGTGGGAAGAATGGCCAAGCCCTTTGCTGTGGTGTACAAGGATATTTCCAAGAGGCAGGAGAGCAGCTGAAGGTTGGATGCTCTGCAGGACCCTCCTGCACTGGCTCAGGTGGGAAGGGGCATCTGCACCCACCAGATGATCAGGACTGAGCTCCCCAAAGGCAAATCCACCATCCAGCACGACCGAGGTTGGGAGGGAGCAAAGCCAAGCAGGAGAGGACAGCCCCATCCATCAGCAGCTCATTGACACAACTGGAAACTGCCTATCAACTGGGCTGGAGGTGAAATTTAAGTCGGGGGCTTATGTAACAGCTTTTTGGCAGGGAGATAAGCTTTGGGGTGTCAGGGGAGCACAGATGGATGCACTCAAGGAAGGCAGATGTCTCCTCCACTGTGTGCCTGTGCACTGAGCTTGCTTTGGGATTTCAGGAATGGATGGTTTAGCAATGTGTAAAAAATGCAGCCCAGCCATGACCTGCAGCTTTCAAATCACTGAGACCGACTCTGTCCCACGTGCAGCTCTGGTGACCTCACCAGGTTTCCACCAGCGATGGAGCTGGCTCAGCCCTGCAGGGGTGTCAGTGATGTCCTCCTCTTTGAGCTGCCCCATGCAAGCAGGAGCTGCTCCAGCAGCCTGGGCTTCAATCCTGCCTGTGCTCCTGTGGGATTTACAGCTGGCCTGGGGTGGGGGGACAAGAGCACGGGCAGGACAAGGTCTTGCACGTCCTGCACAGCATCATTGCTGCTCTGCACAGCATCATTCCTGCACTGGGCCATTGTCAGCCCGTGCTGACCCCAGACTAGGGGCAGCTGAACTGAGCTGGATGCTATATCCTTCCCACCCAGTGCTTGACTTGGCAAGATGTTTTAGGAATGGTCTCCCTGCCGTTGAGGGGAGTTGCTGTCCTGCCCCAATCCAAAAACATTTGGCCAGGGATGGAGGAAGGAGAAGACACAAGTAGCCTTTGCTGCCAAAGCCTGCTGCAGTCAGGGGAAGACGTGACAGTCCAGTCCAAACTGGGCTCATCCTCCTCCCATCCCATAGGCAATTTGGGGATGCAGCACTGATGTCCACAGTGCGACAGGACCTCAGGGCAGAGGAGGAGCACTGCGGGGAGGCTGTGGGAGCACTGTCACTACTTCAGAGTCACCCAGTTTATGGGGGTGGAGGATGCAGAGCTCATCCCACACACCACGGAGCCTGCAGAGCCTGTGCCAAAGGCAGCTCAATCCCCTCTCCCATCACAGGGATGCAGCCAGCGGTGGGAGAGGCTTTCCCCTCTCCCCCCAAGGGCTGTAGCACTGGCTGCATCTCTGGTGCTTCTCTTCCAGCCCTGAACTGGGTTCATGCAGAGCAGCCAGCGCACAGAGAGTGGTCCAGGTTCTCAGGAGGACCTCGTGCATGAGTCAGAGGAAGCAGGGAGAGGGGTTTTTTCTTGGCAGGTGGCACCCTGAGCTCTTCCCAAGCTGGGGAGGGGGAAGTGGGGCCATGCTCCTCCTCTTCTGGGCTCAAATCCCTCATTTGAGGATGGTGACTGCTGTACACCCGAGTTGCAGGGCACTGGCTGCCAGGAGGCAGAGGATGGAGCAGCCCATGGGGCAAACTGCCTTTGGGCAACTGCTGGCCCCACTCACCCCTGACAGGGCTTTCTACAGGTTCCTGGCCAACACCTGCCCAGGGGACAGCAAGGGCTGGCTCAGTTGGGCTTGCTCCACCCCTCTGCTCTCCCCACGCCTGCATATGAGGGTAGAGAGTGCCTTGGGAAAGGGGCATCAGCCACAAGCACAACCTCCTCCACCGTGCAGCAGGGCTGGGGCACAGGTGGCAGGATGCCTTAGCACAGAGCTCCTTGAAACGTG